AAAAAAGTCAACTCAAAATGAGTCAGAGACATAAATGTAAGCAGGAAAACTATAATTCTTAGAAGAAAACATAAGAGTAAATCTTTGTGATTTTGGATTAGGCAATAGTTTTCTAGATATGACACCAAAAACTTAAGTAACAAAAGAGAAAATGAATAAATTAGACTTCATGAAAAGTACAAAATTTTGTGCTTCAGAGGACACCATTAAAGGACAACCTACAAAATGAGAGAGAACATTTGCAAATCATTTATCTGATAAGGGTCTGGTGTTCAGAATATATAAAGAACTCTTACAATTCAACAATAAAGAGTCAAATTAACCAACTGGAAAATGAGCAAAGGGCTTGAATAGACATTTCTCCAAAGAAGATATGCAAATAAGCACATGAAAAGATACTCAACATCATTCCCTAATGAGGGAAATGCAAATCAAAACCACAGTGAGCTACTACTTCACTTATACTAAGACAGCTGTAATCAGAAAGGGGGACGTTAGCGAGTGTTGGAAGGATGTGAAAAAATTAGAACCTTCATACATTGCTGGTGGGAATGTAAAATGGTGCAGCTGCTTTGGAAAACAGTCTGGCGGTTCCTCAAAATACTAAAGATAGCGTTACCATATGACCCAGCAAATCAATTCTTAGGTATTTATACAAAAAAATGAAAATAAACTTCCACACAAAATGTTCATAGTAGCATTGTTTATGCTAGCCCAAAAGTGGAAACAATCTAAATGTTTACTGACTAATGAGCAGATAAACAAAATATGGCATATACACGTAATGGACTCTTACTCAGCCATAAAAAGGAATGAAGTTGTGTAATCTACAATACGGATGAACCTTGAAAACATCTTGCTAATGAAAAGAAAGACACAAAAGGCCACATATTGTATTATTTCATTTGTATGAAATGTCTAGAATAGAGACAGAAAGCAGCTTAGTGATTGCTGGGTGGAGGGGAAAATGGAGAGTGACTGCCAGTGGGTATGGGGTTTCTTTTTGGGTTGCTGAAAATGTTCTGGGATTAGGTAGTAGTAGTGATTCTATGCATATCTTTTAAAACCATTTAATTATACACTATAAAGGAGTAAATTTTATGATATGTGAATTATATCTCAGTTAAAAAGGTTTAAGAAAATATTACGCATGCACTGTCTGGGTGCTGGGTTAGCCACCATGGTCTTTCTGTCCTTTATCTTGTGGAGCTGACATTCTAGTCTGGGGATAGAACAAACAATAATGGATAAACAAGTGATTATATAATGTGCTAAGAAGAAAAGTGTAGAATATGCTAAGAAGAAGTAGGTAAAAGGCAGGTGTGCTGTTTTAGATAGGATGGTCAGAGAAGGCCTTGCTGATAATGTGAGAAAGACCTGAGATGCGAAGGGAGGGAGTCAGTGGACTCTGAGGGAAATGCATTTCAGGTAGGGGGACATCAACAGGCTGGGGTGTGCCTGGGGAAGAGGCCAGTGTGGCTGGAGAAAAGTGAATGTATGGGGGCGAGGAGGAGTGATGAGATAAGAAAAAGTTGTGTGTGTGCATGTGTGTTGAGTGTGATGGGGGAAGGGTGCTGATTGTGTAGGGCCTTACAGGCTGTATGTAAGTACTTTGGACTAGATTTTGGATTTTTCTCTGAATGAAATGGGAAGCCATAGATGGTTCTGAGCAAAGGATGGGCGTAACAGACTTAGGGTTTGACAGAATCCCCCTGCTGCTGTAGGAAGAATAGCCAAGAGTGGGAGTGGGGGGTGTCACTGCTTAGGAGGTTGTTGCAAAAATCCAGACCAGAGGTGGTAGTCACTTGGACCAGGGAGATGTTGAGAAGTGGTCAGATTCTTGATATTTTTTGAAGGGATGCCCCTAAATCTCCTCTCAACCCATCACTTGGATAGCCACCTGCCCCTATTGGACTTGGCCTATTGTAATTCCTGATTCTCCAAGCCGTGTTCTTTCTTCTTTTGTCAGGCACCCATTGCAAAATCTCTCCCTGTGACTGTAAGTCCATGAGTAATCCCTAATTTTGTGCCCTGCAGAACCTCACAGAGTATCTAGCCATTAACTACATGATGCTGTCTAAATGGTGTGTCCTGACAGTTTCTCTGTTCCTGACATAATTCCCTTCCCACCCCATGAAGTCTCCAGTCACTTGTAGCCTCTACCAGCAGTTTCCTACAACATACACTGGTTCACAATGTGAACCACACTCCTTTGACCTCCTCTGCTCATGCTGAGATCATGCTTGTAAAAGTCAAGATAATCCAGAGCCACCAAGGTGTGCTGAAAAGTTAATCTCCAATTGCAGTTTCACAAGCACAATTCTCAGACTTCTATTATTTAGTGAATTCATATGACAGAGCAGACATGAGGTTCTGTGCCTGGGACATCTGGTCCTAAATGGTATATTCTCCCTGGAATTATGACACTTCTCACCCTGGCATGGTCTCCACTTTCTCTTTGCATTCATTCAGTTCCAAGGTGTGACTTAAGTCTGAGGAGCAGCTGAAAAATGGGTCTTAGACAGTTGCCCCTGAATGTTGCCCTCATAGAGCTGAGCTGCCTTGAGTTTCATCTCAGAAAAATGGACAAAAGTACAAACAAAACTAAAACAAACAGGAAACACTGTGAGCCTGGTATCTAAAAGGAATAAAGAGAAAGTTAAATCTTTGCTGAAGCATATCACCAAAGGAGGATTCTAATCAAAACATAGAGCAAAACTTAAAAATCCTTTTTCACTCTAAATACTTATGAAAGCACAATAGCTACCTCTCCCATCATCAGTCTCCCACCATCATCAGCTGCCTCTCCTCATTGTCTCTGAAGAACTCCAAGCTCTCCAAAAACCCAGCCTTGTACCTTTTGCACTCTCTCCCTGTTCCCTACCTTTCCAGGCCATGCCTCCAGGTTTCTGCTCCAGGCACTTCTCTGATCAACACAACCAAAGGTCAGGCCTGTTCGAACTGCAAAGTCTCCCTCTTAGAAGCGATGGAGGAGGAAGGCCATGACCATTCAGAAATTAATTTTTCATACCAATCTTATCATAAAGTTTACAGTTCATCATCATGAACCTTCTCCTATGTTACAGAATGTAGAACTATCTCAATGGGGCAAGGACAAGAAGTACATGCTCGAAAGCTGATTCAGATGTCCATGCAGCAGGTATGTAACAGCTACTCTATTGCAGTGTTTTTGCCATTATTCTCTGACCATCGGGTCTACCTAGGATCGCCACAATGATGGGTGAAGCGTTCTTCCTGTGATGCTCAGTCCTTATTTTCTGTTTTTGTTTATGTACAAATATTCAACCTTTGATTACCTGTGAATTTTAAACCTAAAGCTAGTTTTTTCTTGACACCTCCGTGGAAAGCTTGTTCTGTTTTTGATAGTATATACTCTTTTAATTGCACTGGTTTTTTCTTACAATTTGGAAGATACACCTTCTGATTCACAGTTTTAGCAGTCTTGGAATTTCATGATCAATATTAATAGATAGTACTTAAGAAATTACAGATTGAAACAGTTAGATTTCAGTTTTCAGTTCAAAGCAGGCTTTCATTTTTCATTAGTGAATAGTTTGAGGCAAATAAGAAATATTTGAGGATGTTATTTTTAAATATGG